TTAATAACACATACTACAACTTATACATCAAAAAAGTTACCAGTCAATTGCATTGAGAAAAATGTTAACTCATATTCTTACAGCAATTACACCGATAAATCTACAGTTTCTACCACATTTTTTTTACTACAAATTACATCGAATTATAACACTTACTGCAACTCAACTTTGATACCACATGCTACCAGTCGGAACCTAAATTTTAAGAATTTGAGTTTGAGTTATCATGAATTATGGTTGATTCACCATTTTGAGTTATGTTCTTTGTTAAATTGCTAACTCAAAAGTTAATCTAACATCAAGAAAAATGGGATGAGTTAGATGTTGAGTTAAGTGTTTTTGTTGCTTTTTTGTATTTAACGTGACTTCTTTTTCTTTTTCTGTTTTTTACTAATTCCAATTTTAGTTATTTTATTATTGTACACAAAATATTGTATTTAATTTTTAACTAACAAGGTTCTATCAATTTGGTTAAAGATTTTTGATTCAAACATTTTGTTTACATTGTCTTAATTATTGATTTTATTTTATATTTTTGTTTGAAAAACTTTAAACAAGTATGTTGTTAGTTTTTTATTTAATGTCATACAATTTGTGTTTTAGTTTATGTTTAAGTGAGCATTATTTGTTTTTTAATATTAGATATTAATGTTACAAAAAGTTTGGTTTTATATTTAAGTTAGTATCATTTTAATTAGTCTTTCTATTTATAAATTTGTAACAAGTGTTAATTATTTATAAGTATTTAAAATTGAATTTGTGCTTAATAATACATACTGCAACTTATACATCATAAAATTCACCAGTCAGTTGTATTGATTAAAATGTTAATTCATATTTTTACAGCAAACTCACTACGTATTTCTGCAGTTTCTACCACATATTTTTTACTGCAAGTTACATCAAATTATAACGTCTACTACAACTCGACTATAATATCCCATGCTACCAATCAGACCCTTAAAATTTAAGTTAGTTAGCTAAAAAGACCATCGAAAGTATCTAAAAGTTAAAAGTATAAAAATTAGAAAACTAACAAAAAGTTATG